TGGCGTTATAAAACTGTATCGAAGTAATCATTATAACTTTCATGTATTCGCACAACTAGCTTTAATTTACAGAAAATATTGCGAAATTTGATTAATAAGTAAAAAACTATATTTTATAAAATATATTTTGTAGTAAATTGTTTAAATTATATCATATAATGCTAGTGTTATGTAACCACGAGGCTGCAGTTGTAAATATAAATAATTCAGATGAATAAAATTCTTGGTAAATGCTTATATTTTGAATTATTCAATCATATAATTTAGTTCAATATCTTGAATACGTATAAGTAATCGTAATTAAATCATTTTCATGATTGTTATAAATAAATTGTTCGTTTTTCATCGTACGAATGGCGGGCAATGAAGCATGTAAATGAATAACAGATGGATTAATTCGATTGAATTCTATAAAACATGTACTATCCAAGGTAAACAAAACGTCTGTCTTCGGTTTTCTAATCGAAAGTATAAATCGTTCATTTTATGAGAAGTACTAAATCAAATCGTCTACTTCCTTCTGAGCAAAATCTCCACTTAATAGATGCAGAAACTTTTTGAAATTAAAGAACGACTTATCTCAGCCAGTTAATAATATTTTTTTTTATCTTCGAAATGTAAAAGTAATTGTACGGTCGTTTGGCATTGATCGTGGCAAACGTTATTTATTTTATTTCTCTATATTGTTGTCTATCAAATAGAAAGAAAGCGAGCGAGGAAGAGTGAGAGAGGAAAATTTTCAAATTAAAAAGTGGGACAGTAGTGGATTACGCAACCATTTATAATCGGTCACGTACTTATGATGTTTGTTAATATATACTTAAAGGTACGCACATAGCTTGCTTAAAAAAAAAGAAAAAAAAAAAAAAAGAAAGATGAAATGCCACGAATATACTTATGACATTACAAAATTCTTTACATATGTCTATTTTTCTTATTAATTTTAAGCTTGAGTTTTCATATAATTCGAGACTTTTTTAAACATAATAATAAAAATGGGACATTGAAGAAGTAGGCTATAGACAAGTGATTATTCATGTACATTTTGACAGAAAAATTTGAAAGTCTAGAAAATTTGCATAGTATTAACGCACTATTGCATTTGCATATTATGCTTTTTATCAACAATTAAACGCGTGTAAATTACCAAAAGAATCATAGTTATGTCTTTTATAAAAATAATTTACAGGTAACGAAAATGTTAATTAAAAATTCTAGAAAATGGAAATAATGTGAAAATTTACAGGTAACAAAATTAAAATTCTTGTCTAATTCAACGACAAATATTAAAATCAATGTATTGAATATAGTTTTGAAAAGTTTTTTCAAAAGTTGTCTAGAATATTCGTGCTTTTTCACAAGATCTTTATCCCTGAACATATTAAGTCATATTAAATCATAGCTTACTTTTTAAAACATTAAAACTTCAGTTAAATAGGCATTAATTATGTTTAAAATTACATTTACAAGATGTTATAGAGTAGGCTATGTTATACAAGGCTAAAGCTTTATTGTTGATTCTGATTGTCTAACGGTTGTAATTCTCAGATAATACTGGAAATAAATGTAATTATTATTTAAAATCGATATCGATGTGGATTAATCCTTTTAGATGAGATATTGTTGAAAATTTTTGCCTTTTAAGCTTCAATAGCACTCCATCGTTTTACGAGCTACCGATACAAAATTCAAATTTAACATAAATACGCGGGTGTAGAAAGAGACGATTAAACACCATCAATCAGCGTGAGATGTTGGCTAATCAATTTGGACGTATGGTGGATATAACATCAACCGATCGAGCATCTATGAATGATCCAACAAACCAGAATAATAACATTGCATACGCGAGTGAGACGAAATTTCGTGTCGCGTGACGAAACTCGGCGCTGTGTAAGTTTCGGAAAGGAAGCCGCGCTCCGCAGGAGAGAAGACCAACTTCTTACGAAAGGTGCAATAACGTACGTATGGGTGCGCGCCAATGCGCATGCGTGTACAGGTACCAATGTGCCGCGTAGGGAGGGACATCCGGAGAGAGGTCCCATGAGAACATTACGCGAAAATTGGGTGACAGGTCAAAATTTTTTTCTTCGATCGCTCGATGCAACAACGCCTTGCACGCGGGGAGACAGATGAATCGGGCGAGTAAGAATTTTGTTTAAATTTTGCTTTTGCTTTTATATCGATTATATAATATCTTGGTAATCGTGCTAAGAATGGCTAATGAGCACTAAGCTACGTGTACTTATCAATCCATGAGAAAGTGTCCTTTCTTATTATTATGACTCGTGATTGTTTAGGCAAATGCTTTACTGGAATTTCATTTTCAAAATTATTTAGGCGCATCACGTTCGTAAAGAACGATAGTCGGAGTTACATTATGAAACGTATAGGAGCTGTAGTACGTACATAGGCAAAAAATTATGATTTTAAGGAAATTGGAGGCCATAAATCATCGTACTGGGAGACTCCCAAATATCCGGCTAAATAAGTATAATCTCTTAGACCATCAAAATAAAAATATATAAGTTACAATTCTTTTGTTTTGTAAGATTAACAGTGGCTGTTATCTTAACGCTTTTCTTTTTTTTTTTTTAATAAGATAATTAGATTAAATGGGAAATCACTGGATAATATTAAATACCATTAATTGGTCCTTTCTCTAATTACATTTTTCATGCCTGTGCGGTTAATAATGAATTTAATAAAAATACTTAATTATCCTAGCTGATGAATGAATTTTGTATACGAGAGATCTTCCTTTTTGAGATTAGAATCGTAAATAAAAGAAAGCGGTTAGTGGCTGCATAGTAATCAATGAAAGTTGACGTTGACGAATCAGATATTTGTTATAATGAAAACGCATCTGTCGGCAGCCGCTTGTAGCGCGAACATTGTACGCGTATAATTTAGTTTTAAAACAGGCGCAGGCGTTAGTTAATCTCCTCTATGTCGCAAATTAAAATCAAAATTATCCGATAGATTGGTACTTTTGGAGATAACGGATGGAATTATGTTTTTCGAATCTGTCGTGGAGTTTTTATTAATGAGAATGAATAAATACACAGGCATTCGATCACCGAATCTTCAAGCAAAAATCGCGAACATCGTTTTTACAATAAAAGTTATTGGTGTCTTTTTAATGGGAACTCTGTAACTAGAAAGTATAGTTATATTCTATAAAATTAAAACAATATATTAAAATATATTACAAGACTTAAGCTATGAGAAGTATTAGAAAACAATTATTGATTTTATTAAAAACAAAAAAGAAAAACAAAAAAAAAAACCGGAATTTATTCATAAGTTTTTAATGCTTATTAAACGAGAAATAAACAATATTGAGACTATGAGAGCTAATAGAGTAACTTTTTTAGATCAATATGTTAGTCGTTTAACTAAAAGCCTAATTTCAAAATTCTAATTAATACGATCTTAATTTAAGGCTATCAAATTTGAATTCTCTATGCCGTTGAAGCATTATGTAAAGTATTTAATAGCATTTTCACTCCATCCCATAATTATTACAGACACATTGATTTAATTTTAAATATTGATGCTTTTATTTCAAGAGACCGAGGATTTAAATGACATGGAAAGAAATGATTGATCAGTTGATGAAAATGATGAATTCAACGATTCAAATATGATACAAAATGCATTTGAATTTTCCATTAATTAGTCAACAGCGTGTATCCGATAACTTTAACATCCATATATCATGCTTTAATATGTGCAACATTTCAAATTTTTATCTCAGGAATTGCATATGAAATTTGCAATCATCATAATCAATAGAGGAGCAAAAAATATAGACCGAAGTTTCGAGTTGTAACGTATTGGTGTATCCGAGTGCTCTACGGTATGATTTACGACAAATAAATCTCAGATCTGAAGGAATGACAAGTGAGACACAAGACTTGTAATAGATGTATTTAACATTATTGAAGATGTGCGCGTGTATGTGAATGGGCGCGCTTCTATTTACGTGTGCACGTGTGTCTAATTTAAAAGCAATTCCAGTATATAATTATGAACAAACGATGCACAAAACTCATCAGAATCTTAACGAAATTTCGCAAAAACGATAGCTTGCGTAAGAGCTACGCTATAGATTGGTAGCTTAGTATAATATTGAATAAGTTAATACTTATATGTGTGTGTGTGTGTATATATATATATATATATGCATACGTATAGAACGCGTGTACATAGAAAGCCGAAGATGGGGAAGGATAGATAAAAGATAAAACGACCAGACGACATTACAGGAGCGAACTCTTCGCGAACCCCGTCGATTATAAAAAGCATTAAGAATTCGTGTGAAAGTAGTAGATCGACGATGAGTGTCTGCGAGTTACATGCACGGGTACTGGCATACGTAAACACATAATAACGCTTTTTGTTCATAGCTGTCCATTATATACTCTAGGAGCCTAATGACTCTTGTGCATAAAAGTCCCCGGAGAGCATCATCCAATAGACTCGGAAGCCAATTAAAGCCAATTAAACAAACCGTCTGATGCAAAATGTATATACCGCGATTGAGATATTATATAGCTAAAAGCCTACAATCGACTCCGTGTAAATAAAAGCGATTTTTAGGAAATGACGGGACAAAGTGACTAACGATTATTCATTAGGGCTGGCTATTCCAAAGGTTTTTTAATGAGATGAATTTGTTTATTCGCTTATTCTCTTCTTGTTAGGGAAGTAGGACGCTACGAATAACACATGGTCACGCAATTTATATCTTCGGTCGATTAAATTCTCTTCAAGCAAAACGCTCACCAAATACAGCGAAACACCGATAATTATTTATGAAATTCAAACACATCATAATCACTACGACTCGTTCACCGATTTTGACGCGTGTCAGCCTAATGTTGCTGGAAGCGCGACACCCCCCGACTATCCTACGGCGGTCATTAACAACCCCCGGTGAGGCGCATTAACAACGCATTTGTGATTAAAGCGAGACAAGTTAAAGAGGCACCTACCAGCAAAAGTATCCTCATGGTGTGTCAGTGCGCGCGTCGCCAAGATAAAACGAGGTACCGAATTCGAGGGTAAACGTAGCACAGACAACGTTGACGACGGCGTAAGCGGTAGCACTGCTATTGACGATGACGGCGGTAGTGCGATGGTGCTGGCCGAGGGGGTGAGAGGGTTGGTCGATCGTATGCTTGTGTGCGAGCAAATGACGTTGAGGAACGATCCTGAGTGAGTTTCACTCGGAGAGTGCAGCCGGATAGAAGCGGCCACGGTCCTTTATAACCTATACGACACGCTTTTGCCAATAGTGGGGGTTTTCTTTTCCTTCTCGCGCCCGCGACTCGGAGAAGGCGAATGCTCCACTAGCTCGCTCCTACGTAGGTCTTTCGCCTCGCTCTGAACGTGCGCGTACTTACTTTCATGTTCGTCCGTTTGTTTATTTGCTTGCTTATGTGCTTATTTTTTTTTTTTTTTTTGTTTTTTTTTTTTTTTTTTTTTTTTGATTTCCTTGTAAGCGTGGGTTCGAAGATCTGCCTGCACGGGTTTCCGAGGGTAGAAGGTTGAGTGAGTGGCGACCGCGAATGTAAGCGTATGGTTGCCAGGTCGTGTCCCCTTGATTTTGTGAGGGGGTGGGGGTGGGGGGGCTCAAGAAAGGAGACAGCGGCTTCAATGCCATAAGTTCGATTTAACGAAAAATTATGGCCAACTCGAGAGCTTTATCAAGAGTTCATATTATGCCGCGAGCTTTCCGTTTATTTGTTCTCCCCGCCTGGTCATTTTTCTTTCGAGATACTCGCTCGTTATTTATTCTCGCAGCACGTTGCGTATCTGCGTATCGGGCTAGAGAAATCTTTGTTCAAGGTCATTTATCACGATCGCACACTATCCAATAGGTCATAGGCTAAATAGATGGTGTTAGATTATTCTATTAGTAGGTCATTAGTAATCAATTATAGAAAGTTTTTACGAGAAACGATATAAATTAAGTACAAAATAGTTTTATTTACGGTTTATGGATGATGACTCTATTCTCTCTCACATTCTCTCTCTCTCTCTCTCTCTCTCTCTCTCTCTATCTCTCTATCTCTATCTCTCTATCTCTTTCATTTATATTTATAATGTAAAAGTGAATATTTGAGATACACTTTGCGTAAATAAACATGCTTTATAATGCAGAGTTTCAATATTATTTTTATTTAAGAAAGTGCAAAAGTAAGAATAGAAATATATGTCATGTACCCAAGAGTTTCTTAAGCTATAATATATTGATTCTAATTTATTAATTATTTACAGTCTATATGAATATAATTTTTTATTTTTTCACTCGTATGCGAATATGAAAATCTAGTTAAATATTATTTATGTTGTCGAATAATACTTTATAAAAAAAAAAAGAAGAAAGGAATAAAGTATTAAGAGTGGTATAATATAATTTTGAATATACTTTTTTAAAGAATAGTAAAAGGAAAATAATCAAACAATATTTCTTATTTTCTCTTTGGGGAGGAATTATTTTGTATAGTTTATACATGTTTGAGATTAATTAGCAATATTATTACAATAAAATCTTTTCAAGTTTGTAAATTTGTCATTTACTATTATAAAAATCTATCTACGAATTAACGATCTACGAACAAAATATAATGAAAGTTTGATCGATGTTCAAGACAGAAGAAAGAAGAAATGTTAATCCAATAGTAAGCTCGTACATTTTGCATGAAATTTTACAATTATGAAATGAATAATAATAATCTATTATACAAGAAAACGAAAAATATTCAGAAATATAATTTTAGTGTCATGGAACATGTACCAATTACTGGTATAATCAACGTATCCACGTAACAGTTCACGTCAAAGTGGATGTTTGCAAAATGTTGAAAAGAAATTTATCCTTGCATACGACGTATTAATCCTAAATATCTCCCATAAATCATTACATTTTCAACGATCCTTATTTTAAAAAAACAAAGCAACAAAAATAACAAAAAAAAAAATAAAAAAATAAAAAAAAAAAACAAAAAAAAAAGCACGAGCACGATGCGACATGTTGAAGATATGAAAGTTATTTATTACAATATTGTGATAAAATCAGGATATCTTAAATTACCGATAATAGAGAGCTTATAAAGGAAGTCATTTCCATAATTGTATTTACAATATGTCAATTTTAACAGCTTCTTCGAGTGCAATGTAAATTTCAAGCTGGATTATATTCACAATTACATATCCAACATCAGTCGAATGATATCGTGAAAAATGAATCCAAAAAAAGAAATAATAAATATTGTTCAAATGTTTACGAATGGGCGAGGAGGGCAAATGTCTTTCATCGCCGACAATATGGAAAAAAGTTTGAGCGATCGTATCGTATCGCGATTGTGCCAATTACCATGACCGATTGGAAACTTCCATGCCGATAGAAAATGTCTTCTATATACATTCGTAAATGGACGCTCGAGTCTCTAATTTTGCGTTCAACGATGCTTGCTAGTAATTTTGGGTTTCCCGGCATACCTCCAGCGGCACTGATTTCCCTCGAGTAAAAGTAAAAGAGAGCGCGAGTCCCGCGGACGTCAAGTAATAGATAGAGAGACAGAGACAGAGACAGAGAGAGAGAGACAGAGAGAGAGAGAGAGAGACAGAGAGAGAGACAGAGAGAGAGAGAGAGAGAGAGAGAGAGAGAGAGAGAGAGACGAAGAAGTCGTACACTCACTCTCGATATTAACGTGACCATTGCCAAATCCTATTGGTGGCGTCCCCAGGTATTGCCAAATGGGCTCTCGCTCTCGCTCACGCTTACTCACCTCATCGTGTCTTTTGACCAACCGCGCATACGTAGGATCGAGCATCCGTCGCGCCGTGCCCATGTCAAAAAGGATATTCCGTGCTTTCAAAGCGGCGGCGGCGAAGGCGATGGAGGAGGACAGCGCCTGTCACTCTCGATTGAGCAAGGCCTTCGCCCAATTGCGTTGACGCGGTCTAGATCACGACCTGTATTTGTTTGTTTTTTTTTTTTTTTTAGCGCTGTCTAGTGTTGATACAGTGGTGACAGTATAATGCTTCCACTGTCGTCCATTTAGCTTCTCTTTAACGTCCGTCTCACCATACGAAGCCTGCCGATTCTTTTAGCTCGCGTTGCAATATTTATATGACTTTCTAATTACCGAGTGGCTTCGGATAATATAGCGCATTGCTTCCGAAGTCTTTGTAAAAAGAAAATAATTAACGAAACGCTCGCTTAATTGGCATTACTTAATTGTTTTCGTTGGGAGGCTAATGAGGAAAAGGATTTAAAGTGTGCCGACGCGATATGTAAACGGTGACTTGTAAGCGTTGCCCTTGAACTGCAATGTCAATTATGTAGCGACTGGCATATGCTCACATTGAATGATCATTTTGTTTTTGTTAAAGTACGAGATCGATGAGCCGCTATACGATGCTAGAATAAAGTAGGCACGACGCGACATTCATAAATAAAATTAGTATTATTAAATACGTTAAAAGAGAAATTATCGTTGCACAAAGTTATAAGACGACGTTTATTAACTTAAGCCGGGATTTCTACTTTATATTTAGATATATTCGTAGTTAAACACTTAGGCATAATTAGAAAACGTGGTCGGTAAATTTAACATCTGAGAAATAAAATTTTTCTTCACCCATACGGATTATAGGCGAATTTAATTTACCGTGACTTATTTCATACAAGGATGGTCTTCTTCATATCGTAAATGTCGCAGAGAATTTTAATTTATAATTGGAAATTTCTTAGTTACGATCAATCGGCCATTCGAACCATCATCAACAGAGTATTGGCAAAATTATTTGCATTAACGGAGATGAACGTTACTATGGGATAAAAATGTAATGTCCAGGTCGTACGCAATTAGGTATATGACACTTTATTCGGCAAAAAGTGCGCCTAAACAATAAGTGAGTGAAAGAATCGTGACAGCCGACACGAGAGAAATGCCATAATCGATAATCACTTGGCTTTCGTCCATTAATCGTAAATTAGCATATTAGCGCGCCGGCATAAAGTGTGAACTTGATGGTTCGGTTAGGTGGAGGAGGAGGAGGCTCGATGTGGACGACTCGCCCGTCAAACAGCTGGCAAGCACGCGAAATATCGGCTATCTCGAATGTGTTATTTCAAAAGGAGCTCGCGCACGGTAGTCGATCGCGCGGTAGGTGAAGGCGGATGCGCATTGGCCAATGCCAGCCGCGGGAGGCCGTGAGAATGATCGCACATAAGAGCGTACGCGAGGCAGTTAACGGTGGGTGGGCGATCGGGGCGGTGGTGCGGCTGGAGGATGCGGAGGATCGGCCGATTATTCGATTTTTCGATGATCGAGCGATCTGCCCGACGCCAATTGATGATCAGCCGATCCTATCAATGTGGATGAAAGACAATGCCAAATTGGTCTCATGGCGCGGCATTCTATTACGCAACGAACCATCGCCTCGATCACAATATTCGAGCTCCTTATGGCGCTTGAGAATTGTCTTGAGAGTGTCTTTAAGGTATTTTTAGGAGAAAATCTGTAAAAGGAAGAGTGTAAGCGATGCAGCGCCAAGATATAATTAACAAGTTTGCGAGGCGCGCAAACTTATTCGGTTGAAAGTGAAAATCTTATTCCCTCGGAATGGACGTGAGAATTTTAACACATCGCGGATGGCACAATTGCTCTTCGTCGCGAAGTTGAAGTAAGCCATTCTTCATTGGGGGAAAGAAAGAAAGAAAATAGAATGAGAAAAGAAACACTAGAAGAGAGATGAAAAACCTAGTAAACCTAGGTAGAATTTTGAAAAAATTGTTTAGCTCGTCGATTTGCGTCTCGACGGATTCTTAATATGGCCATAAGTGCACCTGCACATCATCGTTGTTCAAGCCTTTTGCAATAATCATTAGTATAAGATTATATAAATCGATTATATGACAAATATTAATAATGTGGAGAAAAAGACGGCTTATTATGGCATACAATGTTGAATAAAAAGAGCTGCAATGTCAGTATAGTTTGCGCTTACAAAAGTTCATTAAAATAATATGCATTACTATATTGAGGATTTTTATCGCTCCGTTTATTAAAATTAAATAGTACTTTATTCCAATTTTATTGCCAATTATTCAATGATAATAATGATAATGCTTTACAGTAGATGCTGTTTAAGATTTTTTTTTAACCAACAACCATCTACGATATGAATCCAATCGACCAAACGATAATCATTAGG